GAATGAAAACCTGTAACTGATCATAGTAAATCATTATAATCAGTTCCAGGTTTTTATTCTCATGCACTCATATAATAGACTTTTTTATTACATAATAATTACAATATATTTGATATATTTTTATTTTGCAATCCTGAAATCGGACCGATAATGTAATTTAATTTATGACGTAGCTATCATGGTTATTAAGAATTACTTGTATCAATATTAAAAAATTGGCCCGGATTCAATACACCAGCATTATAAAATTAGCCTACGTTATGACTTGATTAAAATTACATGAAATTTTGATTTCCGAAAATTACACAAAATTTCGTAAAATAACGCAAAATTACGGTAATTTTCCATCCCTAGCGGCAGCTAGGTTCAATTATTTAAATAGTACTTATTTTTATACCAGATGAGGAAAAGTCTCTAAACAATCCTTTTTTACTATCTCCGCTAAGATTTATACATACATTTTACGAAAATATTACAATGATTACTAATTATAAATGTCAGAATGATGTTTTTAGTGATTAAAAAAAAACAGGGTCCTGTTTTATATATATCTTAATGCTAAGAAGCAACTATAATGCAAGCCGGAATTAATAGATTTCGAAATATTCCGAAAACTCAACTCATAAGCAATTCCGAAAAATTCCCATGAGCATGATGCGCATCATGCGTATGAAATTTGGGATTTGCACATCGCTTGTAATGACAGTTTTGGCAGATTTTAACCGTATTTAGTTAGATCGCCCGAACTACTTCGACGACAATCTTGGACTAACCTTCCTTCTCACAACGCACACAATCGAAGATGGCTGTAAACCATACCCTTTGTTTCACTTCCGCGAAACTCCGTTCCTAGCATTTTTCACATATTACTGCATCTCATGTTTATTATATTCCACGATTTCAAATTTCTTTTCGAGTTCAAAATTCAAATTCTTATCGTTATCATTATATCATCTGCAATATCGATACGCTCTAATTACTTCACGGCCATATAATTTGCCGCGCAATAATTAACATAAAATTAACAGGTAAGGTTCCTTGATATGAGAGTCTCCAAATAAATATGGAATTCACGATTGTTAGATATTTCACTTAATAATAGTGATTATTACATCTTCCGTGATCCCATTTCGCATATTTCTTTAATAAAGTTGTATCCTGTAAACTAAATATTCGTATTATCATCAAGCAGTACTCATTTTAATAGTTTTATATTACTGTATTTTATATATTAATTTACTTAATATAATGAAACCAGATTTCTAGGAATGTTATTAACATCAAAATCTTATAGCAGATTGACTAATAATTTGAAAATGACGACAAATCTTTCTAAGACTCCTAACGTTCGCTTTCTATTAATGTTTAAATTCTAATACATAATAGTTTCTGTAAGTTTTTACTAATACATATATTCTCATATTGAACCATCTCTTTAAATTTCCTAGTTCCCTACCTTTTAGAATCCTAACAATAAATTTATTTCATGCACACTTGCACATTTTATTACGTCACTGCGTTTGGTTAAATGTTTAAATTTCCAATTTAATTTTACCCAAGATTTGACATTCGATTTTAGATGTGAATCGATTTTGAACACTATTTCCACTTTAGTAAGAATATATCCTAAATACTATACTATTCCCGCTTATCTAATCAACACATATATCTATCCATTTCTATTTTCATATAAAGGTTTCCAAAAAAAAATTATGAGCTTAAGTTTGATACGTTATAAATTTAAAATCAGTATTTCGAATTTTTTATTTGACAGTATAAATATTATAATTTACAATAATAAAACATTAAATCATATATGATTTCATCTCTTCATTACTCGATCCTGGTATCCTCAAAACATTGTTCTTGTTATTCATGATTCCATTACTCGATCCTGGTATCTTAACTATATTTGCATTTTGATTTTTTTTGTAAAGAATATACCAAATTACTAATATTACTAATATTACTAATCCAGCAATAACAGATCCAATAATAATAAATTTATTTGAGTTATTTGAAGTTTGAGTATTTGGATTTTGAGTACTTGGATTTTGATTACTTGGATTTTGAGTAGTTGGATTTTGTTTACTTGGATTTTGATTTTGGTTGAGAATTGGAGGTGGAGTGTATGAATCAACCCATCTATATTGAGAATTTGAAATGTTGAGAAGTCTTATTACAGGAGTTATCACACGACGAGTAGTATTAAAAATGGATTCTCCTAAGGTAGAGTCAAAAATAAAATATGGTAAATCTACGGGCATTTTTTCGAATATTGATATGGAAATGGGCCTTACCAAATGCAAAAATTATAATATCAGAATAGAGTGTAGCTTCATGACCACTTGAAATTATGGGTGGTGCATTTCCAGTTGGTGAAATAACTGTCCACATATAGTTTGAAATATTCAAAACTGCAAGACCAGAATATCCAATTTGATTGCTACCTCCATATATTATTATACTCTGATTGTCATGTAAGAGGGTTGCTGAATGATGAATAATTGGAGGAATGGTACCATTCTTTGTTGCTATCTGTAAAAATGCAGTTTTATTAGAATTGAGTATCTTATTGCAACAAGAACGTATAAAGATGAATTGATTCATAAACGCACAATATTTGACCATTCATTGGTTTTCGTGTCATATACATCAAGCTTTAAACATTTATACAAGTATAAAATTTTTTAATTAGTAAGTTATTACAGTACTTTTTAATTCATGAAAATAAGCACCGATTAATCAAAATTTATTTTTTCATAATAATTTTCATAATATTTTATATTACAGTAGTTCCTACCTTTCCTACATCTGAATTAGTGGCACCACCAATCATAATTATTCGTCCATCAGGCAAAAAAGTTGCAGTATGAAGGCAACGACCATTAGGTTGTTGTTGCGAAGGATTTGAAGTCCAAATGGATAGTGCAATATCAAATATATACATATTTCCATCATTTAGAGTGGAATTAAGAAATGTATAGTTCATGACCAGGCCTATTTCTTTGACACCTCCCCAAACATATATTTTCTCATTTACATGATTAATTACAGAAGTATGCCATTTTCTTGCAGATGGAGTTGAAGGTGTGTCTGGAATATATGAAATTACAGGATCTGTTGAAAGTGATTGAATTTGGAAAAATTCAACAAGTGGGGTTTTTGTATCAGGAACATTAAAAAAATCACCACCAAAAACGTATATTTTATTCGCATGGGAAACAGCAGTAGCACTAGTCCTAGTGTCTAAACTTTTTATAAATTGAAATTGAGGAGAAAAGCTAGAAAATGGTTGCGTTAGGTCAATATAAAAAAAGTCATTAAATCTTGTGATTCCATCATCATATCCAGCATAATAATAGACTTTATCAGATACAAGTGCAGACATAAATTCTGTTCTCCCAGCTGGATTGTAAGGTGCACTTTCAACGCATACAGGAATTAAGATTATATAAGTGAGTATTAGAAACCATGATGTATACATCTGGTGATAGATATTGGACATTTAAAATATTTTAAGTTATTTGCTCGACAAATAATTAATGAAATTGCGTAATTTCAGAAAGTTCCAAAATTAACTTATTTTAAAATAAATGAGTGCTTAAAAATTTATTTAGGTTCGGTTCTAACTTTCAAAGTCAAAAACGAAAATTTTAATTTTGGTTCTAACTAAAAAGTCAGAAAACGAAATTCTTATGTATGGTTCTAACTTTTAAAATCAACAAACAAATTTATCATTTGCGTTTCTAATTTTATACAATCTATAAACTTTTCGGATTTGATAATACAATTGCTATGATAAAATAAAATTACAATCGATACAGTCTAACTGCATGCCATCCGCATAGAATTTGTTTATGCATTTAGGACATTATATGCATTTAGGTTATTAAGGTCCATCTTTGTTAATGAATAAAAACCAAATTTTTTTATGCATTTAGAGTACGTACGCACGTATATGCATTAGAGTACTTATATGCAATTAGACAGTAACGACTGTAATATATATTATATTCAAATATGAAACGGTTTAGCTTTTATTAAAAATTTGATTTTATTTTTAGTTAGCGCATAAAGAAAATTGTTCGCATTTGGCGTTAGTGCTATGATAATGTTATTTTTCAAGATAAGTCTTATGATTTAGTCTAATAGGGGTTTCAAAACTAAAATCAGAGAATCTTATTTTTCCGATTTATAATTCAACATAATAAAAATACTATTAAAAAAATCCTACTTATTTTCGAAATGAATCACTTATTTGTTAATTTTGAAACCCCCTAATGGAAATTTTTGGTGTTCTACAAATTTCAACCGATTGTAGAAAAAAAAAATTATGGATTTGATAACAAAAGCATCATTAAAACTAAAGGTTTATAAAATTTATACGCAAATAGAATTCTTTTTCGTTTTCTGACTTTAAAGTTTGAAACATAAGAATTTTTGAATCCCACTTATTTTCAAAATAAGTTAATTTTGAAAACTCCGAGTTTTATCTTGTCTTTGTTTATTTTATTATTATTATTTTTTGTTTATTATTATTAATTTTTTTTTTAATGTTAATTAATACGTAGTAAACATACAGTACTACGTACGTACAGTACGTACGTGCGTGCTGTCAGTTGATAGACTTTGATAGTCTTTGTTATTATCAGTTACGTACGTACGTATTCAGTAATCTTTTACTGTGCAGAAACCTTAATATCCTTATATAGAAGTCAAGGATTTTACGCGATATAGAAATGATCTGCAATATACTAAAAGGTTACAATCAGCTTTAAAAAAAGCCTTTAAAATATTCTTGCAGAAGCTATTATATGAATATGTAGTCTAGGAATCCCTATGAATCCCTGAGGTTTTAAAAGACGGTTGTGTGCCAAATAACAACATTGCCAATGATTGGTACAAATTTCGTACATTTTGTTCTTG